TTTTCTTTTGTGATATTTGCTCCTTGTCATCTTTCATAATTTTAGCAGTAGTTGTTTTAACCTGTTACAGTCTCAGTCTTCATCTCAGTGTGCCCCCAAGGGCGGGGCGGGCTGGGGATGGAAACACCACCCCTGCATCTGCCTAAGCAGGCACTTTAATCCACTGAGCTATCTGGCCGGTCCTTGCTCTAGGTTTCTTGAGTATTGTATTTTCTTCTTGAGTTTCCCACCCCCCAATGTATTTGGTTGTTGTAGGGTCTTACTACGCAATTCAGACTTATGGTGATCCTCCTGCTTTCAGCCTCCTTAGTTCTGGGCTTACAAGAGTGTGCCACCACACCAGACTCTGGCCACTTCAGTCCACCCTTGGGGCAGGGCTGGTGCAGAGTGTGGTGCTGGGGATCAAACCAAGGTCCCTGCACTTGCCTAAGCCTACCTAAGCAGGCATTTTAGTGTGCTGAGCTATCTCGCTGGCCCCATCTCTTGAAGTTCTGTATCTTCATAACATTGTTAGAGGATGAGGAAGGACATCTATCCAGTTTCTCATTTTGTAGAAATAATACCATCCTAATTAGGAGTTTATGTTTAGGAAAAATGTAGACTTCGCATATGTTAGTTTTTGTACTTCCTTACTTTAATGAATTTTCTTTTTTTGTTTATTTCTTTTGGGATTTCAAAAATAAAATTATGTCACCTCAAAACAATACTATTTTTGCTTTATAAATTAGCTTTGAAATTTCTTTCCTCTCACTTTTCATTTTGTTGATTATTCTTATTAGTTTCTCCAATGGATATTTCTGTAGTATTCCTCACTTTTATGTGAACTCAGTACTTTTAAGAATTTTTCAGATGTCCTACGGTAGTTAACTTACATCTATGACAATTCTGTTTGCGTATTCAATTAAGAAAGTGCACTGCAGTTATTGTATGTGATGTCACCAAAATGTTCTAACAGTAATTGACAAAAGGTAATACAATAAGTAAAAAACAAAAGTGAAATTTCTTAACTGAGAAAATTTTAAATGCAAGTTTTTTATTAAATATTTTATAATGCCAATCTATGTTACTGTATTTGATTTAGTGTTCTGTTGATTGTTAGTTTATGTCAGGTGTTTTAATAAATCTGCTGGTAGTCCTTTACTTCTGGAAAGCTCCAAGTTATAAGAGTGTTAAGATCTGAAGGAGATGAAAGTTCTGAGAAACATTATTATATTTGATGCATATTGTTATTAATACAAAACTTGTTTTATTATATGAAATTGTTTCTTTAAACCTGTTGGCAAAATACTCCTGTAGTTAAGCATTGAGAAATAATGCAGGGGAAAATGTCATTTTAAACTAAAAATTCTTAACTTTGAATCAGCTTCACTTGATTTGCGCAGTCTATTCATTTCAATTCAGCACCCTTATTTTTAGCTACTTGTTTCTTTAGTATGATTGTGCTTTCTGCTATTTATAATTTAATGTTTTATGTAAACACTTAACAGTGGCTATGTTATATAGTGTCTTCATAATAAGTCGAAAATATACTTTCTTCAAGTCAGCATGTGAATATTTTACTCAGTTAACATTTTGTTAAATAAGTCAGTGATACATAGCTATGCCTTTTGTGGTTATATTTGGTGTTTTATTAATTTTGTGGTTTCATTATTAGCTACCTGTAGAATTTATCCTCCTTAATGATGGTGATGCTTTTTTACTATTGAACATGTTTTATGTTGAATATTTTTAAATAATTTCAGTTATCCTTGGATGAGATATATGAACTCAAATTTTAGTGTTGCAACCTTCTATTAAAATAACTTCATAAAATTAAATATTGTACGAGAAATCTTGATAGTTTACATTCATTATGTATGAATTTTCTTTTTAATCAACCTTAATTAATTAATTTATTAATTTTTGGAGCTGGAGAGTGAACTCAGGCCCTTGTGCTTGCCAGGCAAGTGCTTATTCAACCCAGCCTCTTTGGGTTCTTTTTTTTGTTAACTTTATTTGTGACAAATGTGTTTTTATGTATTTAACCTTAAAGAGAGAGTGATCCATCCATTCATCCATCCATCCTGAATCTTGAATCCAGGAGCATTCTACCACTGAGATACTTTATTTCCAACACCCCCCCTTTTTCAAATTTCTTTATGAGACAATGCCTCGGTAATTGGCCTATGCTGGCCCTAAACTTGCAGTTCTCCTGCCTCAGCTTCTCTAATAAATGGGGTTACGAGCATATATCACCACACCTGGCAAGATCCTACTTTTCTTTCTAGGTTATCTGTACCTTTGTCTCCTTGTCGGTAGTCACAGGAATGCTACTAATAGAATTAGAGATCCCCCTTCTGTTCTTCCTATAAGACTTCGGAACTGAGCAACTGTATGTAATATTGACTGAAAGCACAGATCTTGGAATCAGTAGACCTGAGCTTAGATCTTGATTCTATTGTTTGTGAATCTGTATTTGTCTATATGTTAATTCTTTTAATTTCTGAGTTAGTTTCTTCCTCTGTGAAACAAATGGTGTACCTACCTCACAGGGTGGTTGTGAGGTTTAAGTAGACTTATGCATGTGGAGCACTTAAATGAGTTTCTGACCCAGGGACAGTGTTCAAGAATTGTAGCTGTACTGCTGGTTGTTTATTTTTGGTGACTTTGCCAGCTTTATGTTGGAATAGCTTAGAGGCTAGTTTTAGGAGAAACTGTGTAAATCATTTTACATTACAGAAGTAGAGTGTATTTATACTAGCCCAATTTTCCTCACAATTTTGATTAACCTGCAATTAAATGTTTACTATAAAGATAGATTTAAAAAAACCAGAGCCTTACAACCATTTTAAAAAGGGCTTTATCTGTAACTTGACTTCCTTATACACACAATTTTTTTTTTTTTTTTAAAGGTTTTAGGTTTTTGAAGTTTCTCTTGGATATGAGGAAGCCATACCTGAAAATTCCTGGTTGGTTTTAATGTCAGTGCAGTAGATTTTTTTGTTATATCAATGGGAAATATTAGATTGAGAGTTTAGATTTTGAGTTTGGCTGTATACATATATATATTCTTGGTTAGAATAACATAACCTTTCTGTATCTAAGTTCTGATCTCTTCTGTGATGTTTATAACCTGACCTATCTTACTGGCCTATTTTAATTGCTCAAAATCAAGTGAAATATTTATGTTGAGACTGTTTAGAAAGTATGAGAGGATATCCAGAAGAAAGATAAATGTTATTTCCATTTCTAGATTATTTTTAATCCACCTGCATGTTCCCCCCCTCCCGCCCAAAAAAAGGTTGATGTCATGTGAATTATTGGAAACTGAATTTCAAATCCCTGCTAAGTATACTTATGTGACCAGAGCATTTCATGATTTTTTCCCCCCCATTGGATTGTGAGGTAGAATATTACTTCAGTAGTGAAGGCCTTTAGTCAGAAAACAATTCCTGGGTGAGCATGGTTTTTCAGGGATTGTAATTATGGTTCTAGATAGCTTTTCAAAATCTCTGCTCAGTACCAGTTACTTCCATTAAGCCTTTGGTTAAATTTACCTGATAAATAATTTGCATTTCATCTACATTTATGCATGTAGTTTGCAGTATATTAATCTATTTGATTGTTTTTGTAAGTTATCCCTTTTATTTGTGATTTAGTCTTGTTTTCTCTGAGTTTCGAATCTCTGAATGATGCGTGTCCTTTTTCCTTATTGCTGTATAATGGGAGTGTTCTATTCATAATGGATTCTTATTGGCTGTGATTGAGTAAAACATTCATTTATTGGAACTTGGTGGTATTCATAGTCCTTTTTAGAAGTATGTATCTGCAGCAGTTTTCAGTAAACATTTAAACATTACATACTTAAAGACAAAAAGACATCAAAACAATGTGCTGCTTGAATTTTCAGAAATATGTTTAAGCTGCCGTCTATTTGAGCCGTGTCTTTTTTGCCTTTTCAAACTATTTTTTAAATTGTATTTGGCTGAGAGAAATATAGTGCATTATTTCAGCTTTAAATGTCATACAATTTGGGAAATCAGATATTTGTATTACTAGTCACAGTTTGAAATCTAAATATCTATTCTCTCTCTCTCTCTCTCTTTCTCTCTCTCCCCCCCTTTCTCTCCCCCTCTCTCTCCCTCTTTCCCTCTCTCCCTTTCTCCCTCTCCTCTTCTTCTTTTTTTTTTTTTCCTCTTGCAATCAAACTTAGGATCTTGCACTTGCCAGCCAGGCAGGTACTGTGCTGCTGAGCTGTATCACTAGCCCCATGTTTCCTAATTTTTTAAAAAAGGAAGGACATATTTTATAGAGTCTTGATTATAGTATTTTGCTCCTCTTATTAAATTAATGTATTAAATTTTTGGTGATTTTTTACTGTTGGAGTTCTAGTGTAAACTTTGATAGGAGGAGACTTTTACTAGTTTATGTTTGTGACATAATCATTCATTTGGGGGAACTGGAAAATTAAAATACACATATGTCTTTTTTTTTTCCCTTCTGTATTTAGGACAGGGTCTACAGGATCTCACATATATAGATTAGACTCGTAGTGATTCTCCTGTTTTCAGCCTCCCAAGCTCTGGGATTACAGGCACATGCTACCACTCCCAGTCTCAATCACTGTCTCAGCATGCCCTGTAGGTGGGGCTGGCACAGCACACCTGGGATTGAACTTGGCTGCTTTGCTCTGCCTTAGTAGGCACTTTAGTCCGTTGAGCTATCAGGCCAGCTCTAATATACATATATTTTGATCATTTTTTAATCTATTTTCCCCCATAGAGGAGATTCTTGCAGTAAACCTGCTAATTTCTTTGGAAATGACATTTGAAAAAAACACTGTTTTGCAGTTGCTTTAATCACAACTTTCCCTTAAACAAGATAAAATTATATCATTTATGCACTTAAAATTTGCTAGATGTGTTTCTTCCAAATGAATGTTTGCATTTTATTTTCCAGAGTGTTTTCCCCTTTAAGGTCAATTATTGCTCCACTAAGAAATTTCTTTGCATTTTCCTTAGGAATGTCATTGTCTGCTGGATCTTCCCCTCTTCATTCCCCCAAGATTACTCCCCATACTTCTCCTGCTCCCAGAAGAAGAAGCCACACTCCAAATCCAGCAAGTTACATGCTGCCTTCTAGTGCCTCTACACCTGTTAATAATCCTGTTTCTCAAACTCCATCTTCTGGTCAGGTGATTCAGAAGGAAACTGTTGGTGGGACGACTTACTTCTATACAGACACAACTCCAGCACCTTCAACTGGAATGGTATGCTTACATTAAAGAGGGAATTTTAGGGTTTTTTTTTTTTTTTTTTTTGGTGGAACTGGGGATTGAACTCAGGCCCTTGTGCTTGGCAGGGAAGTGCTTATTCCATTGAGCCATCTCCCAGCCCCTAAAGAGGGAATTTTAGTACTCTTAGGAGGCTTACCTCCTTCTTGGATCATTACATTGTGATCAGAAAACATATTTCATTTCTAACTTAGTCTCATTTTGGATCGTTATATTGTGGGTCGTCCCCGTCGTGTCGTTCCCCACCCCCCCCCGTACCAGGGATTGAACTCAGGACCCTGCTCTTGTCAAGCAAGTGCTTATTCTACTGAGCTATCTCCCCGGGCTCCTTAGATCATTATATTGTGATGAGAAAAAATACTTCATTTCTAACTTAGTCTCATCTTCTCATCTCTTTAAGTTAATTTGGTTCTGCTGTGTTAATAAATGTTTTAGACAAATTTTATTTGAATCAGAAATTAGATTATACTCATGTTCTTATTTAGTATTGTGTGGCATGTTTTTCATGTAAGTTAGCTAGTAGTTAAGTTAGCAGGAGCTTTTATCTATAGATATGATGTTGATCTATCTCTAGGAAAAGATGGAAGAAAGTGGATATATTTTGTCAGTAGTGTTTTGTTGTTGTTGTTTTTTTTTTGTGGAACCTGGGATTGAATTCAGGCCCTTGCATTTGCCAGGGAAGCGCTTCTTCTATTGAGTCATCTCCCCGGTCCCAGTAGTTGTTGAACGCAAACTGATTATTAACTTTTGCCTCAGATGAGGAAATAGGAACTAGCTGTCTGGGTAGTGGAATGAAATCTACATGATAGGGGCCTGCAATATAGGCATTGCTAAGGAGAGGAAGATTAAGAACAAAGGGAGCCAGGATTGTGGACAAGGAAAGAGCTATCAAAGGGCTGTTGATGGAGAGAGAGAAGATAATGAAACATATAGGAAGAGTAAGACTCAAAAAAAATATGAATACAAAAACCAAAAGAGGAAAAACATACCCAGAAGAAAAGGTTCTTCTCAGAGTGAATTAGTGATGGCAGCAGAGGGAAAAAAAATAGCAACCAGAGCGGGAAAAGTGGAAAGAGCAGTGAGATGTGGAAGAAGAAAGGAATGTCATGTTATATAGTTGTACCTTCTTAGTTTTCACTTTTAGCCCATATTTAAAACACTTTTTAACTGCAGGGAACTTAGTAGATGAATCACTCATGAGTAAGAACCCAACTTCCATTAAAATAATAGAAGCTGATTTAAACCATAGACATTTGACAATTTGTTTGTTTGTTTGGTACAGGGCCTTGCTATGCAGCTCAGACTCATAGTGATCCTCCTGTCTCAGCCTCCTCAGCAATGGGATTATAGGCATGTGCCACCATGCCTGGTTTCAAAGCCGGCACAGCTCATGTGGTACCACGAATTGAACCCCTGTTCTTGAGCTTGCCTGGCAGGTGCTCAGACTGCTGAGCTATCTCCCCAGGCGAGAGATATAGATGATGGATTTATATGAAGATTATATTTGGATACCAGTAATGTAGCTTAGTGGGAACTTGCTTGCCTACCTTGTGTGAGGTCCTGCGTTTCATTTCTGGTATGTCCTTCTTCCCCCAAAAAGAATTTAGATTTGAATTTCAGTTTGCAGATTTTTTATCCCCAAATTAAGTGAAAGATAGTTTGAGTGGTAAGAGAACAGATTACTTTTTTCTTTAGTACCTAGTTCTAGAAAGATTTTTGACAGTGTTGAAATCACTGTATGTCAGGCTGTCTCCACAAGTCTAAAATGAATATAGTAGTACCTAACCTCTTGAAAAATAAATGTGAAAATCATGTGTAGAAATTGTTGGAACTCATGTAAAATGATTTTAAGAGATCAAATAGTTTTGTGGGCATTTTAGGGGGAGTGGATCGGCAATCTTTCAGAAGGTATCATACAATTATTTTCCAAACTGAAGGTCAGATAAGACAAAAACTTTATTTATTTATTTATAAAGATTCTGTACATGTGTTACTCTTCCCTGGGGTTCTTTTATGGTTATTTATATTTTTATTATATTTCACTGTATTTTTAGAAGGAACTTAGGTTTCACAATACTTCCTCTGCTGTTTTATGGAGATTAAATACGGCATACTTCGTTTTTCCTCTTCACCCTTATGCTTATGGCAAGCCTGAGATAGTTAAGCCAAACAATGCTATCTGATGGAAGAAAACAAAGAAAGAAAAAGAGTATTATTCTCCCTGCAGATACAAATTAAAGAAAATCTTACAGTTATTGCAAAATTGCTTTCCAGGTGAGATCTTGAGCAGAATAATCATAGGAGGGTTAACAGAAAGCAACTGAATTTGTTTTTAAAAGACAGATAAGTTTCAGTTGCAAAAGTAGAGGAAGAAAAAGAGAAGAACATGGGGCGATGGAATGAGTACAGCTGGAAAGAAGAAAGACAAGCAACTGGAAGTAGATTTAGTAACTTTATTGTGGTTTGTTTGGAAGGTGAAGTTAATTGTAATTGCGTCCTTGTCTTCACCTAAACTGCTGGCCTAGCATAATTTGGTCCTCTTCCCTGGTGACACTTGAAATGTTTAACAGGTGTATCGCTAACATTTAGTTTAGGTTGACCACAGAAAGGCTATAAGAATTCTCTTCCTCTCTTCCAATTACATAAAAAACACAGAACTTTGAACTCTTTGTTTATGTAACATTTTTTCCTAAACGCTACTTCTGCCTTGTTGGAGCTTAAAATTTACTACATCTGAAGAGATGTTTTAAGATTTGTTTACGTTTACATTGATGATTGAAATATAGGATTGTTTTTAAATGAACTTATTTCAAAAAGTATTCTAATAACTTGACATTTTTAATAATTAAATGTTTAAGGTTTTAATGAAGATTTAAAACATATCCATATTTATGTTTGCTTGTGAACTGAGAAAAATTGGTAATTGAGTTTCTATACTTCCTACCATTTTAGGTATTTCCAAACTATCACATTTATCCTCCAACTGCACCTCATGTTGCTTACATGCAACCAAAAGCAAATGCACCTTCCTTTTTCATGGCTGACGAACTCCGACAGGTATGCCAATCACACTGTTCAGATGCATAATCTGTACTAAAACAGATGGAATGTAAAGCTTATGGTTTATTTCTGTTTAAGAAAATGTAGTTTAAGAAAATTTCACTAAGCTATTAGGATATAAAAAATAGAATAACTGTTTAAATGGGATACCTTTTGGTACTCCAAAGATCTTTGTATTGAAAAAGCTCTTATACATATATAAATGATATCTAATATTTAAAAAGCTTTTTTATGATAAGTATAGAATGATAGTACGTGATAGACTGATAGGCACAAAAATGAGTTTAAGAGAACTGAATTTTTTTAAAGTAGTTTTTAAGATAGGGCATCACTATGTAGCCCAAAATGGCCTCAAACTCAAGAAAATTCCCCTCCCTCAGCCTCCAGAGTGCTGAGTTTACAAGTGTATGCCGTCACAGTTGGCTTTTTGTAAATAATTCAGTTTTGTTTATTTTTTGGTAAAAGGCTAAATATTATTTGATATGTACAGTTTCATTTAGTACTGAAAGTCTCAGAAATATTTTTTTTCACAGAAGTTGTGTATGATAATTTAGAAATTGATTATTTACCAGCAAATAGTATAATATTGAATCTGGTTTTTAGAAGTAGTGTTTGGAGTTCAGTATACTTGCTTTCCTTTTTTAGGAGCTGATCAACAGGCATTTAATAACAATGGCTCAAATTGATCAAGCAGATATGCCAGGTAAAATACACTTTCTTACTCTTTTTGAGGCTATTACACTTCTTATGTAGTACTGCATTTCTTTATGTATTATTATGGAACATTTCAAGGTATTAACTGATTACCTAATTCATTTCCATTAGTCCTACCATATTCTAGTTACTTTTTTAAAAGTTCAAATTCATGAGTATTCACTAGAACTTGATAGATTTTCTCCTAACATTTAAAGGTATGGTTTCTCAAGCAGAGGATCAAAGTAATTATTATTTCTAAGACTGCTGTGTTCCACACAGTTTGCTCATTAACCCATTTATGTTTAACATTGAAACTTTTTAAATTGTTCTGCAGAAATTCATGTGTATTACCTAGAAAAATTCAGAAACAAGAATTTTAAGAGAAAAAAATTTCTGTTTCTGTTGTTATGGGTGTTCCAAAAATGGAACACTAGTAGGCATTGAAGGGCTAGATGTTTAGTTTAGGTTTTTTACTTTATTCTTCACCAACAACCTGTGACATTTGATCATCTCTTTCACATATAGGAAAACGGAGTAGACAGTTCAAGTCACTTGCTGGTAGTAAGTAATGGCTGGTAAATGGCTAACTGAGTCAAGACTTAGACCTAGGTTTTTTTGATTGTACTGTGTTTCTCAGTATTAATCTCTTTCTGTAATCTGTATAAATTTAATTTAGCAAAATGTTAGAAATAATACAGTAGGAATACATATGGCTCAGAAATAATCTTAAAACATCTGGTGATAATCAGGATTCAGAAAGATCCAGTGTGTTTTTAAACTTGATTGCCGAAGAATTAAAAGTGGTATGTTGGGCTGTTACAGTATGTCTTAAGACTGATATTTCTAGTTTAACTGAATGGGAAACATTTGTCATAATCTTTTGAAGTATCTGATTGAAATTTCTCTTAAATATGTAACATTGTATTTCAGATCCTAGTCAGGGTGAAAGTTAAAAAAAGAAAAATACGAGTTTGAAAGCATAAAAAATGGAAAGAAATAAACATGTCTGTAAATCATACAATTATAGATTAGAAATTTGAAACAATAAGATCTTAGAAAATAGCTACATGTAAGAATATGTCAGTTACATTTCTATAGACAACTACCCAATAACTTCAAAATTAATAAAAAGAATGAATGGTTTTTATAGTAGCTATACTAGGAATAAATACAATAAAAGATGTATACTATGTGAAGAAAGAAGGCTTATTAAGAGGCATTTAATAAGGTAAGCTGTAATGTGTAGGAACAACAGTGACTATTTTTTCAATTCAGTACAATTTTAATCAAGTCATCACATAGTTTTTCATGGAATATGATAAAAGTTTTCAGAGAAAAAAGGGCGAAGATTGCTCACTTTTTAGAACATGATCATGTTTTATATTAAATGAATCTATGGCTGTATGGAAAGAGAAGACTTGATTATTTGGGCCTATAGTAACAGTAATATAGTATGGTAGTGATACAGGGATTAATAAATGAACAAAACAGAATAGGAAGAGCCTGACACATTCTGTGATAAAGGTGGCATATCACTGGGAGAAGTGCATTGGAAATGTTTTTCTTACATAGAAAGGATAAAATTAGATCATCTTAAGCCACATTAAAATGATAAAGGACCTGGTGGTGCACATCTGTAACTCTAGCATTTGGGAGGCTGACGCAGGAGGATTTCAAGGAGTTTGAGGTCAGCTTGGACTACATAGTGAGTTCAAGACCAGCCTAAGCTACATGGTCTTAAAAAACCAAAAAAATAAAAAAAAAATTTTTTCATGTTTAAAATGAAACCTTTAAACCTTATCCCAAAATATAAATGAATAGATTTAACACTAATAGGGAAGATTTTCTTTTCAGGACACAGACATTGTTTTCTCCAAGGAGAAATACAAGTAAGATACATATTTTAAAGTTTGACTATTTAAAAAGTGTTAGGGTATAGGTCCATATGTTCTCAGATGTATGTATTTTGGTAGGATAAATTGTTGAACCTGAAACTACTTTGGAAAACTCCTTAAGATGGTTATATGCAAGGCCAGCCAGATAGCTCAGTGGAGTAAAGTGCCTGCTTCAAGGCAGAGCTCAGTGACTGGGCTTCATTCCCCAGCATACTGTGCAGGTCTTGCCCCCTGGGGGTGTGCTGAGAAGGTGACTGAGACGAGGCCTGGTGGCATGAGCCTGTAATCCCAGTGCTTGGGAGGCTGCAAACAGGGGAATCACTATGAGTCTTACCTATGTAGTGAGACCCTGTAGACCCTGTACTAAATACATTTTAAAAAATGATTATATGCCCTTTTATGTAGCAGTTCTGACCCTAAAATGAGACAAAACCCCTGTACATTTTTTTGGAAGATGGACAAGATATTTATAAAATACTGCTCATAGCAACAAAAACCTGAAACTATCCTAATGTCCTTTTGTAGAATAGTAGATGATTATATAGATAGTGCAGTGTTCTGTGTAACATTAGAGATGAAGAAAGTATATTGACAGCAATACAGAAGAATCTTAGTGCTACATTAAGTACTGAGTTCCAAGAGACTACATACAGCAGATGTAATCTATGTTGATTTTCTTCTTCGCTTAAATTTCTAGAGTGTTTTCTTTACAGTAGTTGATTTAGTGACTGATATTGATCGAGGCACCCATTCATTCATGAATAATTATTTACATTTGTTAAATTGACCAGAAGTGCACAGTAAGTAGTCTTGTCTTTAAAATTCAGCATCCCTTCAGTATACAAAGAGAGCAAATTAGATGTAGAGGGAATATACCTCAACATAATAAAAGCCATATAAAATAAGTCAAACAGCTGCATAATACTAAGTGGGGAAATGCTAAAAGCTTTTTTCCCCAAGATCTAGAATAAGACAAGGGTGAGAGTAATGGTAAAAAGTAATACTTTTATTCAACATTGTACTGGAAGTCCTAGCTAGGACAATGAAGCAAGAGAAAAATAAAAAGGATGTTGAAATTTTTAAAAAGGAAGTCAGTTGTTACTGTTCACAGAGAGCTTGTACTTACATATCAACCCTCAAAGACTTCAAAATACTATTAGAACTAAGAACCAAATTCAGCAAAGTTGTAAAACTAAGATACAAAAAAACTGAATAACTTTTTAAATATACCAATAGTGAATTATTTCAACTAGAATTCAGGAAGCAATCCCACTTACTAATTAAAACTGCCTACCCCAACATAAAACACAAGGAATAAATTTAACCAAAGAGATAAAATATCTCTACAATGAAAACTTTAACATTGATGAAAGAAATTAAAGTAGACATAGTATGGAAAGATGTCTGTGTTCATGGATTCAAAAAGTTAGTATAGGGGCCAGGGAGATGGTTCAGTAGAATAAGTGCTTGCCTGGCAAGGGCAAGGGCCTTAGTTCAATCCCGGTTCTGCCCAACCCCCCCCCCCCAAAGTTAATATAGTATTGTTAAAATATCTACTCTCAAACTGACCCATAAAGTGAATGCAATCCCTATAAAATCCCAAGAGAAATCAGTAGAATCTCCATTAGTCCGGACAAAGTATTCATGTCTAGACAAGAATTATTTTGTAGTGCTGTCAGTTGTCTATGGTTTACAGAATTGCAAAATAGATTCTACACACATACCTGAGAGGTATCCTTTAGATAGTGCAGTTTTCCACTGACGCACAAATTTCTTTTATAAAGTTCTCTATGACTTGTTGGACAGTGGCCACATGAAAGTGTAGGATTTTTAGTTGATACATGTCTTTCGTGTCTCTTCATGCTGGTGGGATGAGTATCCCTGCTTAGTGTAATAAATTTCATATTCCGAGTATGGCATTTGTTTCCTTATGGTACGATTGCAGCACATCTGCTTCAGCTTTGTCTGCACTCTCTGCTCTCTCTGTAGTATACTTTATGCTCCCACAACGTACGAGCCTGCCATTCCTAAGCATAGTGTACATCTGTAGGCCTTGTTAATCCTGTTAATTTCCTCAACTTTATTCACCCTTTCTACTTTTTCAGCTCATTGAGAACAGCCTTCCCTTCATCCTTGTGCTTTAAAAACGCCACTTTTTTCATGAGATCTTTCCTTATATCTTTGGCTTCTTTATCTATATCCATAGGATAGTGCTTTGTAAACCGTGATCCCTTGCTGGCATCCTCATTTTCATTATAATTTAAGAACTTGTTAGAATTACAAGTTCTTTGACTCCACTTTAGGCCTGCTGATGCAAAAAACTTCAGATTAGAAATCAACAAACTATTTAACAAGCCTCTAGGTGATTCTGAAGGATGCTAAAGTTAAAGGATTAGTGCAGGGGCTGGGAAGAAGGCTCAGTAGAATAAGTGCTTCCCTGGCAAGTGCAAGGGCCTGACCTGGTTCTGCCAATTAGTGCCATGGTGAATTGTATTTTTTTTAATAACTATTTGTCTTGTGTTGTTTTATATAAATCTACATACTTTCATTTTTTCTATTCTTGAGGGTGAGAACCCCCTTTTCATTAATATGACTTCTCTAGTACATAGTATATATTTGTGCTTAGTATATCTTTAAGTTTCTCATTTATTACTCCTATTGAATTAATGCTTTTCATATGAAATAGTCAGGAAAGAAAATTTATCCATCTTTTGGTTTCTTTATAGATATTACATGAATCAATCAAGTGAAAAATTATAAATAGGTAAAAGTTAACTGTTATGTTTGCTTGTATTTCCCTTATACTGGCTTTATTTTAGCAGAATGTGCTGCTTCATCAAAAATGACATTAAATCAGTCTATCTTGTTAAAGTTTGCCTGAAATGCCATCCAGTGATTTAAGAGTCTGAGGCAGCAGAGTTTAGGGTCCTAGGCTCTCATCCTAACTCTCTCAGCTATGTAATTCCTGCTTTTCTTATTTATAAAATGTGTAATCTCATCTCATGGAATTATTGTGAGAATGTTTGAGCCTGTCTTCTGGAATTAGTTTTCTTAATGGAATTTTACCTAAACAAATGTTCATATTCAAAAATTACCATTGTTAAAGTTTCATTGTATTCCCTTCTGGTTGGTCATTCTGTGCATATACTATTTGCTTCGTATTGATTTGTCTTTGTTTACTTAAAATATGAGCATTGTTAAGTAATTCAAGATAAAAAATGAAAATGTCTAACTGGAAGATAAAACTTGCTGTATTTGACGCATTAAAAACTGCTTGTCCTTTTAGCTTGTAAAATTGATACATACTTACTTTAGTCAGTAAGGAGCAATAAAAAAAATTATTACAAATTGCTTATGTTTTATAGAGAAACCATGGCATACTTTTTGTGTTAAACCCTTTCATAGCACTGGCTGTCAAGTGCAGGGCCTTGCACATGCAAAGCAGCACTCTGCCACTGAACTATATACATCTCTAGCCCAGCTCTAGTATACAGTATTGGGTTAATAATAAGTATCCTAGTTATTGTAGACTTACCAGGTCCATAATCACATTTGCCAAACAAATGTATGGCAAAGGCTAAATAAAAAGAGGCAAATGGATTTAGGGCTCCAGGAGGATCAAAGCCCTCTCACAAAATTCCTGTTTTTCTCAGGGCTGAGACCTAGATCCTCTCTGGGCGGACTTTATTTATTTATCTAAAAGAAGGGAGTAAGTACTTAAGAAGGGCACAGCTATTTTTGTAGGACTTCTCCAAGTAAACTATTAAGTTAATGCACCCAGGTGTGAGGTGCCTGAGGCTACAGGCTTTATCTAGTTGGGGTTGGATCCAAGTGTCCTTGGCTGCCATCTTGTCTGAGGCTTTTAGGCTTCACCTGCCATTACAGGCCTCAATAAGGATTAATGACGTGGAAGTTTACTTACTATGAGTCTAGTCACCCATTTCCAAGCAAGTGGCCTAGGTTTTATACAGAATTAGAAATAAACATGAAAAGCCCATCAGTTAATATAAGTCCTGCTCAGGGCTGCTTCATAGTGGTCTCCATCTCCATATATAGATATATATCTTCTAGAGTTTTTTTTTTTGTTTTGTTTTGTTTTCTTGGTAGAACCAGGGATTGAACACACGTCCTTGCACTTGCCAGGGAAGTGCTTATTCTACTAAGCTATCTCCCCAGCCCTGCTTCTAGAGTCTTAACAGTGTGTCATGAGCAAATCCATATGCTTAAACATACTTTTTTGTTCTTTGAGGTACATGAAAGTCACAGTAGTAGTCTTTTTGTTTCTACTAGGGTTTAAAACTATGGTTTTCTCCTGAGTGGGTATACTAAGAACTATAGGTAATCAGTTCCCTGTTCTTAGGATTTCTGCTACCAGTGTTTTCATTATTATTGAACTTCAGTAAGTACTAATTAACTCTCTTATTTGAGGGAGGAAATTTCCTTGAGTTATACTTACTTAGCCAAAAATTGGTTTTTAAGTGTTTCAGTATCAGTTGTTTTGTTGCTAGGTATGTGCATAGATATATACACATGAAAACAACACCCAATTTAATGTGATTTGTTTGGAATTCATGCTACAAAAAAATTCATATCTAAATATATTTTAGGGAAATTAAATGTTTAAAGATACTATCTTGGTTTATTCATCACCATAATAAGAAAATGGTGACTATCATAGTTTCTAATATTTTTTCTTTTTTTTGGCCGGGGGTGGGGAATGGGGTAACCAGAAATCAGACTCAGGACTTTATGCTTGTCAGGCAGTCACTGGGCCACTGGGCTTTATCCCCAGCTGTGTTAGTTATTTCTGAGAAACAACAAAAAAGTATATTGTGTTGAATAAATAGGAAATACAGTTTAGGTTATAGACTTCAGTTGTTTTTGTTTTACAGTGCCTATTTTTATTGATATTGAGGCATAGAATCATTATGTCAACACTATTCTAAGAAGTTTTGATATATGATTGGTTTGTGGTTGATTTGATCTTTGCTTTATTACTTTCATTTATGAATACCTGTAACTGAAAGTTGTCTTCCTATGAATTATTCTAGCAGTCCCTACAGAAGTTGATAGCTACCATAGCCTATTCCCTCTAGAACCACTGCCACCCCCTAACCGTATACAGAAGTCAAGTAATTTTGGATACATTACATCTTGCTACAAAGCTGTAAATAGCAAAGATGACCTGCCATATTGCCTTCGGAGGATACATGGTAAGGAAGATAATTTTTTTATGATTATGTTATTGAGGTTAAGATTATTTAAACTTTCCTGAATGCTTCATTAACATATCAATTAAAAGATTTTTCATTTGGAAATGAATACCTTATAAGCAATATATTAACAGGATTTTCTCTGCATTTCTGATAGAATACCATAGGAGATGTCATTTAGAGTTTTTTATAGTGGAAAAATGTTCTTTTTCAGGTTTTCGTCTTGTTAACACAAAGTGTATGGTGTTGGTTGATATGTGGAAAAAAATTCAGCACTCAAATATTGTAACCCTGCGTGAAGTATTTACCACTAAAGCATTTGCAGAGCCTTGTGAGTAACTTATGCTATAATTTGTCTTACTAATGCTGAGCTACCTTATTTGAAGTGAGGCTTCAATAATGATTGCTTGTGTTTTATTTGAAGCACTTGTGTTTGCATATGATTTCCATGCTGGAGGAGAAACTATGATGAGTAGACACTTTAATGACCCTAATGCGGATGCCTACTTCACAAAAAGAAAATGGGGTAAGAAAAAGATACTTTGATAAATGCTTTTGTTCTATGGAAAAATAGTTTTTAATTCAAACACATGCAACTCTGCCCTAACAGGGATTCATTTTAAGGCTTCTATTGTTTTCTAAGTCCAGCACCTTTACCACTCAGCCATTCTGATACCTGATTCTATTGCCTTTTCAAAAGAAAGATTTCAAAGAAGTGAAGTTAATCTGCAAAATGTTAGAAAATAGTGTGTTTACTTACTGAAGTTTAAATAGTTTGAAAGACATGTATCTGACATTTAAAATATATGGAAAATGTGTTAAACCTTCCTTTTCTAAAAATTTTTAAAGTATAATGCTTTCTGAATAAAGATGATTTATAAAATGCATCCATTAAAAAGAATAATATTTGTGGCTTTAAAGTACAAAGCAAAGGGGCCGGGGAGATGGCTCAATAGAATAAGCGCTTCCCTGATAAGCGCGAGGGTCTGACAATCACCAGTTCCGCCAAAAAAAAAAAAAAAAAAAAAAAAAGCAGAAGTCTTGTTTTGTTTTTGCCTCCTTTAGCATTGTTTCATTTTTATCATTTCATAATCATATTGTATCTTATTATAAATATATTCCATTTTTATATTTTCTAAATATAACTTGATTTATTTGTAGACCGATGTAACTATACTATCATTTATGTTATTATTTAAGGACATTGTTTTGTTTAAAGGTAGGATTCCATATTTAGGGAATCAGTCTTCAAAATAAAATTTTGAAGGAACTTTAAACAAGTGGACTTTTTTGCGTTTCTAATATTTACTTAAATATCTTACAACTAAAATTATGCTAAGAACCAAAATGTTTTCATTTTATTCTAGTAAATGTTTACCTAAGGGTAAATTATTTCAGAGAGAAAGTAAATCCATTTTGAAAGATTTGTATTTTGGGGAACAGTTTCATTTTCTGGTTTAGCAGCAAGATATACTCATTGTAGTCTTTACTATGGTTATTAATCTTTTAAAAGATTTTCTTAAATATGTATAATGTACAGAAATTAAAAGAGGGGCAATATTTAAATCCCTATTATAGAAACTTTCAGATTGCCACTCGTTTGAATAAAGACTAATCACAGATAAAAGTACATTTCTCTTTACTTGTAACTTTGCTTTCTTCCTTCTGACAGTTGAAGAAGAAAGTTGTGGTTACAGACCTATTTCACATTGAAATCTGGTCACGTAATGTGGTCGCTTCTTTCCTTTTGCCATGTCATTTATAGGCACATGCAGGATTTTGTCAAAGGGGATGTGGTATTACTTTTCCTGTAGTTGACTGTAGTTGTTGTTCAAGTTTATTTTAGTAATAACACCTGTGAAATGACTGTTGGTTTTAATTTATAGCTGGGTTTTTAACCTCAGCATGGTTGACACTGTTGCTACATAATTATTTCATAAATATTTAACTGTAGCCTCTACCTGCTAGATCCCAGTAGCAAAGCCCTTCTACCCCAGTTGTGACACCAGAATATATCTAGCCATTGCCATATATTCTAGATATATTCTAGCCATATTTAGAGTATATATATTCTAAATATATATTTAGAAGTTCCATATTTAGAAGCACTCCTATGTAGATTATTTTTTCCATTAAAAAAAAAAAACCTTAACTTTATTTTTGGTTTTGACTGATTATTTGATGTAATAACACATTTCCATAGGAATTAATCTTTTTTCAAATATTTTCAGATATTTAGAGTATTGTTTGAATAATTATTTTTTTTTTCATTTATGCATTTGGTATAGGGTCTCACTATGCAGCTCAGACGCGTAGTGATCCTCCTGTTTTCAGCCTCCCCAGGGCTGGGATTAAGGGGGTGCACCACCACACTTGGACTCAGCCGCGTTCAGCACACCCTGGGGGCGGGGCCAGCTTGGCATATGGGACCAGGGCTGGAAGCTATCTCGCTGGCCCTATTTAAAATAATTTTTAAAACAGTCATTCATTTATGCATTCATTCATTCATTCATTCATTCATTCATTCATTCATTTGGTACAGGGTCTTGCTATGCAGCTCAGACTTGTAGTAATCCTCCTGTCTCAGCTTCCCCAGTGCTGGAATTGCAGACAAGCACCATTACACCCAATGTTGGTAGCCTGCATGATGCACCTGGGATTCTGGGGCCAGCATGGCATGTGGTACCAGGAATCAAACTTGGGTCCTTGCCCTTGCCAGGCAGGTACTTAGACCACTGAGCTATCTCCCCAGCACCTAAAATATTATTTGAATTAAACCTTTTTCAAATATTGTCTGAATGATTATAGCTTGCCTGACATTCCAGTCATGTATAGAAAATGTTTTCTTATACCATATAGTTCATTTTAATACAAACTAAAATATATTATAAGAAATATACTAATTTTAGAAAATGGGAATAATATGATCTGACACAGGGATTGATAAAAGGTTTAAAAGTAGTTGAAGTGAATTAAACAGTTAGAATTATATCTGGCATAAAGTAAGTACCATGTGTTTGCTATCAATTCTCTATTTTCCCTCTTATCACATTAGATACTGGTTAAATATTTGTATAAACATTTTTTTGTCTTTTTGGTGCTGGGGATTGAACTCATACTTTTGTGCATACTAACCCCCTGCTCTCCCACGGAGTTGTAACCTAAGTTCCTAACTCTTCAATTATCTTCGACATTGTTTTGGTATATATGACTAGAACTGCTTTCTGAATCACCTAAATTTATTTTGTAGAATATCTTTACTTTTGTCCAAATCAAGAGATAAAAGTTTTTAAAATCTTGTATGTGCTTCTTATTAAAATTTTATTCCATGCTATAATTTTTGTATCATCATACTTATTTAACCATTACTTTTTTTTTTTTTTTTTGGTCTTTCTGAGACAGCGTCTGGCTATCCAGTTCAGACTGGCCATGAGCTACTTTGTAGCCCAGACTGGTCTCAAACTTGCAACAGTCTTCCTGCCTGGACCTCCTGAGTGCTGGGATTACAGGCATGGGCTATTAACTGTTACTTTTAGTAATTACAAAATCTACATTAAGTTCAGAACATCTACTTTTTAAGTGTTAACATTGACCCAGAAACTGTTACCAGAAACACTTATAATAATTATTAGGTAAAAGTTACTACTTTTTGATCACAGTAGATCAAAATATATTTTGCATTTATGTTTATGTAAATTTGGGTATCATCCTGACATATCTGGGTAGAAGAGGTTGAGTGGAGTAAGAAAATATGCAATGTAAAGTAAGTAGTATTAGAAAACTTCTTTAGGGGGCCAGAAAGATAGCTCAGTGAAATAAGTGTTTGCCTGGCAAGTACAAGCAAGGTCCTAAGTTTGATCCCTGGTACCACCAAAAAAAAAAAAAAAAAAGAAAGAAAGAAACTTCTTTATTTTCCTTTAGGCACAGAGTGAACAACCAAAAAGCCTGAATAGTAACGTACTGTAGGATTACCTACATTTTAAATAAAGTAACAATCTAAATTTCCTGTTTTTAACAAAAAATTTGGCTTAAAAAATTTTTTTTTGCTAACAGTTCTTTAATTTTTTTATTGTTTTATAACTAAAGTATATGGTCACAAAAAAGAATATTTAGTGAGGGTTCTGCTGCTGCCAGTAGAAGGTATAATCTCAGTCATAAGATCCTTTGGGATTCCCTATTAAATTCTAATACAACAAACCTAAATTGTACACCAGTATTTTTTTTTCCTTATTAACACATAGATATTTTGACATACTGTGCTGTTAATATACATGAATTTTGTTGTCATTGCTAAATTTGGATTGGATATTTTAAACTTTTAGTTTTATATTTATATAAAGATGTTACTGAGGGGGAACTACCCACCCACTTGGGACCCCCCTCCTGTCCCTCTCTCAGGACAGGAGCTTTCTTTCTCTCAATAAAAATATTCTGCTCATTTAAAAAAAAAATGTTACTTCTTGATTTATTTGCTTTATAGGTCAACATGATGGACCATTACCCAGGCAGCATGCTGGATTATTGCCAGAATCTCTCATTTGGGCATACATTGTCCAACTGAGTTCTGCATTGCGTACCATTCATACAGCAGGTTTGGCATGTCGAGTTATGGACCCAACAAAAATTCTGATAACTGGGAAAACAAGGTTATTAGCATTTTTCATATTTTTTAACTGTAGTGGCAGCAAGTAAATATAATGATTTACTTTAATGATACCTTTTTGAACATTTCATCCATAAGAATTGCTGTGAATTTTAAATTCATTTGTAAGGTTTTTCAAAATGTTGAATTCTTTTTTTTTTTTTTTTTTTTAATTATTTAGTACAGGGTCTCACTACACAGCTGGGACTCATGGTGATCCTCCTGTTTTCAGTCTCCCCAGAGCAGGGATTACCAGCATGCACTGCCAAGTTTGGTCTAGTTCATCAGGCCCTGGGGTAGGGCTAGCATAGCATGTGATGCTGGAGATAAAGTGTTGAATTCTTATTTAATGCCTCCCCCACCAGTGAATGAACTCAGGACCTTGCACTTGCCAGGCAAGTGCTTATTCTACTGAGCTTTCTCCCCAGCCCTTATTTAATGGTTATTAACCAAAAATCTTGATAAGGTTCAAAAGGCATATAGATTAGGAGAGTGGAGAACAAGTAATCAGTACAACTTTTTTTAAAAAATCTAGAATCAGATCATGTGAGCCAGAATTCCTTGAGGCTCAACTGAAAAGTGTCAGTTATAGACTCCACCCCAGGATTCCTACTGGTGCTTACAATGGGCTGGGTGTCTGCAGGTCCTGTATTCCTCAGAGTTACTCTGACTGCTGGTTGGTTCTCTGCTTTGAGGACCTCCAGTACAGTTAAGCAACACAGAGCTTGACTTCACCTGAGTTTGAGTTGCCAGGTTTTTGAAAATTGTTTTTGGCAGCATAACGTAAAGAACTAAAGCTCTGGCTAGATACAGTGACTTTAGTACCAACAACTCTGGAGGCTGTGACAGGAGGATCATGAGTTTGAGAAGTCTTGCTAACTTAGTGAGACCTTGTTGAATATAAATAAATAATCAAAGGGTAGAGAATGTAGAATGCCACTAGTACTGGTGTGTATCCGGGGGTGTAGATCTAATGCCAGGTTCCCTGAATCCATTTACTGGCTCTGTTAACCTGTATGACTTTGAACAAGTTACTTAATGTTTCTGTGTTTCAGTATTTCTATTAGACCATTACTAGTAATTCCATTTTCCTTATTTTTAAACTACCTGTCTCACAAATTCATTGAGAGATTTCAATATGTTAATACGTATGAAGTGTGCAGAAGTGCCTGGTACATCTTAGCAGGTATTAGGAAACTAGTTTTCTTTATTGAATAACTAATAAACAGTTTGGAGATATTTTAAAAAAGAAACTAAGGTGTTAATAAAAAAAAAAAAGGTGATCAGTTACTGATTTTTAGAATCAGAAACATAATCTTTGTTTATCCCTGGGCTTTAATTTCCTTTCTCTGAAATATTTGGTAGCCATTATATGGGAGGAGGAAGAGGCATGAAAGTTACAGTACCTAGTCTTCTGAGATTGTCCAGATATTAGAGGAAATACTAAATATCCATTAATATATAATAAAAATTATTCTAATTTATTTTTAAATTCTGTGATCCTTGAAGGTTGCGAGTAAATTGTGTTGGAGTTTTTGATGTTTTAACATTTGATAACAGTCAAAATAATAATCCATTGGCATTAATGGCACAGTATCAGGTAAGAATTAACATGGATGCTTTACTTATAATTAAAAAGATAACTTTTTGTTTAAAGTTAGTCATGTGATACATATAGTTTTTAACTTATTCTTGTATGCAAAGTTTGAACATGTGTTTCTTAATTGTAAGGAAATGATAGTATAAAAGACCTTATAGGTAGGAATGCACAAAATTAATGGCAGTGTCTGAGACTCCAGCTGTTTGTTCAACATGGAAGTGCGTCCATATCATTAGGAAATTTGTTCTCAGAGTAGATGGAAACATTCACTAGTCAGCTGACTGGATTATATTAAGTGACATTAATTTTCACTTTTTTAGGCATTTTTTTTGAACACTTGTCCCACTGCCAATCAAAATTTTAGAGATGCTTTGAAAGGATTATTAAATTTATCATTTTTTAAGTCTTTTTTGTTGTTGTTTAGTTCACATCTGTCACTCTCTTCTTGCATATGATTAGAATTTTGTTATTGTCTAATTGTATTCTAGTAATGCTTGTTAGGCCTTATGATGTTCTTAGCTATTTTGGTATTTCTTATTTTCTTATTTATAGCATAAGTACAGCAGAATGACACCCTCGAACTGGGTTTAGCTCACGGGTGACTGCTTACCTAGCACATTCAATTCCCTGATCTCTATAAAGAAATATTAAGAACAGTTGCTTTTGCCTTAAGATGAAATATCAGAACAAGATGGAAGTGACAATAAGAAACAGAATCTAAGAAAGTATTTATTCCATTTCACGTGTACATCTCTTGCTAGTGAACAACAGGCAGTGCAGTCCAAAGAATTGTGGGCACTCACTGGCTTCCTTTCTGCCAGACCTACCTCACCCAACCCCTACGGCAGCCAGCTGTCATGGTTGATAGCAGCATCCAGTAAGCAATACAGGGAAGAACTCTAACTTTTCTTCAGCAGTAGCAGCTTTCTTCTGCCTAAGACAATTTGCTCCTTCTTTCTTATCAAGGTGGTGTTTTTTGTCAGCTTTCTTCTTATACTTAATGTATAATTAATTGTCCCTGATTAAGTTTTCATTATCTTAATGTTTGCAAAAGTGACTGATTATTGGTTATTAAAAAGTAGTATTCTTCCTGTATCCAAGAACATGTTAAAATTTTGGAAGGATATTAGAATTGATTTAGAACTAATACCATCAAGTTCTATTCTAAGAATTTAGAAAACCCCTGTCCACATTTAAAAACAAAGCAAAATATGCCTTGTTATTTCTACATTCTTTTCATAGTAGGCTTTTTCATTTGAAATCACTGATATGGGCTGCGGATGGAGCTTAGGGGTAGAGTACTTGCCAGGCATGCACATGGTCTTGCATTCAATTTCCAGCATACCCCCCTCTAAACACATACATAAGCACATGCGCGCGCGCGCACACACACACACACACACACACACACACAGAGGCTAATTTGACTTTGTTTTTGTGTCAGAACAGTATTTCTAATTTTTGTTTATAAATGTACAATACTGTAGTTCAGTTATTTTACAGATTGTATAGTTACTTTGTAAAACGAGACTCTGTTTAAGCATTATGACAGTTGATTTTGTAAGTCAGGAACTACCTTCATAAATAGTCAATTTTCAGTCTTGACTTTTTTATCTTCACTCTTTATTTTTCAGCAGTAAAGAATATATTGGACTTTTTCTTTTTGCTATGTGTGGAAGATTTTTATACAGTTTATTTATAGTAAAGTATAGGAGAGAATTAAAGCCAATCCCAAAAGGGAGAGTGCAATTTTACAAGGAACATACATGAGAAAGTTGTGCAGTTTCTTATAGTCTATTTTTCATAATCTGTTTCAGACATAGGAATAGAGACTTTCAGTAAGATGGGCATTAAGTAAAGGCATAGGGAAAAACTGAATTCAACGTGTGTGTTGAAAACAAGATGGAGGTAGGAAGCCGACTATCAGATGGAAAATTATTTAGCTGAGAAATAAGGAGAAGAGGATTACTTAGCTTTTTGATGTTAAAAATATTTTAATCTAATTTGGATTATATGTTATATGAAATATACTTTATTTCTAAAAATGGATGTTTCTATCTCAGGTTAGCTTTAGAAAGATAATCTGTAAGGTACACTAAAAATAGATGTCATTTTTAAAATCCACTTAGTTCTTCAGCTACCTTGGACCTTTGTTTTCCTGTCACATACCAGAAATAATGGCATGTTCTAGGATGGAGGCTTTGTCCAGCATCTGTTCAAGGTGGAGCGAAATTGAAAGTGTCTCCTGTTTAAAGTGTGGGAAACTGTGTGGTTCCTGCTTCTAAGATACTTGATAAATAGTCTAATCACCTTCAGTTTGCTTTGCTGAATACATTGGATTAGAACACCTGTAGAAATTTACAGTTAGCTTGCATATTTCCTCTTGATTTCTCTTGGCCAAAAGTTGTGTAATTTATGGGGCTGGGGAGATGGCTCAGTGGAATAAGCGCTTCCCTGGCAAGCGCAAGGGCCTGAGTTCAATCCCCGGTTCCGCCAAAAAAAAAAAAAAAAA